CCCCAAGGACAAGGCATGGTGGAACGAGCCCACCTGTCCATTAAAAACACTTTGCTTAAAACAAAAAAGGGGGAATGGTATCCCACCAAGGGGACCCCCAGAAACCTCCTCAACCATACACTGTTCATTTTAAACTTTTTAACCTTAGATGCCCAAGGCAAAAGCGCTGCAGATCGCTTTTGGCACCCTGAAACCCATACCAGGGTCGCCTTAGTCAAATGGAAGGATCCTATGGATAACTCATGGCATGGCCCGGACCCAGTTCTAGTCTGGGGAAGAGGCTCGGTCTGCGTCTTTTCCCAGGAGCACGATGCAGCTAGATGGCTCCCAGAAAGACTCGTAAGACAGGTTGATACTAACTATCAGACCAGGGAAGGATTCCTCCCTGAGCAAACCTCTTGTTTGCCCCCACAGGACGAACCAGCGAAAGACTCTTCGCCACCTTGCCCTCCTGTGTCACCCGATGCCTACAACCTGCTCCAGCTTCGGAGACCTGCACAAAGCAAAACCGCAGAGGACTAAACTTGCTTACCGCCGAACAGAGAGACATTTGTTTGGCCTTGCAGGAACAGTGCTGCTTCTACGCCAACAAGTCTGGGATAGTCAGAGACAAGATCAAAGACCTGCAAGATGACCTTGAGAAGCAGCGATGAGAACTGGCCGCAAACCCATTGTGGTCTGGCTAGAATGGACTTTTCCCCTACCTCCTGCCTTTCCTTGGACCCTTGCTAGGTCTCCTACTTGTGCTTTCCATAGGGCCCGTTTTATTCAACAAGCTTATGGCTTTTGTCAGGCAACAGATACAGGCCATTCAGGCTAAGCCTATACAGGTCCATTACCATCGCTTGGAGGTGGAAGACTGTCACGGGACACCCACATGTGTACACGTCTAATTGATGTCCCGTCCCCCGAGAGCTGAACCAGACAGCCAGAGACGGGTAAGAGGGCACTATCTTCCATGTCGCCTAAGACAGGAGGGCTGCCAGTGCTGCCGCCTTATCCAATGACGGGCTCGACAGGAACAGATATGGCTGCCCCGACCTAAGACAGGTGCGGTTCCCCAGGAGGTTCTCTCCTAGCTTAAAACAAAAAAGGGGGACCTGTCCGGAGCCATGAGGCCCGGCAGCTGCTTACCAAGCCCACGCATTTGCAAAAGCCCGGAAGAGCTTGTAAGTTTCTATTTACCCATTATAACTATGTAGCCCTTGAAAGCCCCTGAGGGTTTCCTTACATAGAAATCCTCTGGCCGGAAAGCCGGAGCCTCGGAAAGCACCGCCCCTTTATTGTTACTCTTTCTGCCTTACTTAAGCCTCTGCCTTCCTGCCAATAAACGAGACTTGATCAGACTCCTGTCTTGTCTCCATTTCTTGTGTCTCCTGCCTCTCCCAATTCCCACTCCCTCCTCCAGGGTCCGCGTTGACTACCCCGCGGGTCGGGACAGTGGAAGGTAAAAGTCTTGCTCACTGTGAGCTAGTGCTCTAGAAATGTTAAAAGAAGAACTTGAGACAAATTAAATTTTAGAGTTTATTTGAACAAAGAACAATTCATAAATCAGGCAGCACTCAGAAACAGAAGAGGTTCAGAGAACTCCATTCAGCAGTGTGAGCAGGAAGCTTTTACAGGTTGAGCACAGAAGCAAAGTAGAGAAATGATCCGATTGGCTACAGCTAGGCATCTGCTTTATTTAGCCACAGTGTGATGAGTTTGCTTCCTATGATTGGCTGAAACTTGGCTGCTCGTGATTGGCTGAAACTCAGGTATTTGTTATACTCCCAGTTTCAGTTTGCCTATGTACTAAGTTAGGTTGCAATGAGCTATATAGAAACTCAAAGTATGGAGACATCCTCAGGCTAATGGCCTCCTGCTTATTTAATTTAACAGAAACAAGGAGACCACAGTCCCCTGATGAGGCATCTGAAAGAAAATTCATGGATCTCTGACTTCTTAGTTTTCTCATAGGCTTAATGGCTCCTTCTTGACCTCGTGGGGACCAATGAGAACAGGAGCACTTACACAGAACCAAAGTCCAACCTTTCCCTGGGGTAATCTACAGATCCCAAGCTAGTCCCAGGATACAGCACAGTCTCCATCATTGTCCTGGAATTTAGCCTGGCCTCCAAGGCCATACTCAGATCTCAGCAACAGAAAAGAAACCAAGTCTGGCTTTCCACCCTGCTGTTTGAAGACCCCAGAAGCTCTTTGGTTTAGGAGAGGATAGATTAAAGCTAAAAGTAGAAGAGAAAAGTGCTGAGCTGAGATTGCTGTCTTCTCAGAATCTACTGCTCCCAGCTCTCCAGCTGCTTTAATGGAGAATCCTCAGCCAAATGGAATTTTTAAGTTGATTTAGTGCCACAAGCTCCAGCAGAAACTTCCAAAAATAATGAATCTGAAAATCTTCAGTTGTAATTTGAACCTACCTTGGGCTAAAGTCTGAATACCATAGTTAGGTTTAGCATTTAATTTAGAAAATATTGGAGTGAGGGACTTCTGGGAACATCTTTTAAGAAGTTACACTTACATTAACTGTTGGCCTAAGGGGAAAGGGTGGGAGAAGGAAGGGAATTTTTACTGAATGCTACAGGGCTCCAAGTACTACGCGTTATTTTATTTAATCCTGAAAACAATAATATTGCAATATGTTACTGTTGTCCCCATTTTAAAGTGGGAATGCAATACACTGAGGCTTAGATAGTTTACATTATCTTCCCAAGATAATGTATCTGCCCCGTTCCAAGGCCCACACTTGTTTCTTTTATATTGAATGGAAACTACCATTATTACTTGTACTAATACTAGGTATATTTTCTAATTCTTGTATTCTTATTGTTAGTGCTTAAAAAGAGTTTGTGTTTTATCTTCTGACCCAACAGGATAGTTAGGGAAACTGTTCTGTTTTGCAGTGAGTCTGGATGGAGGGAAAATAGGGGGAGAATGGATGATAGCAACCAGCAAACAAAGGTGGGGAAAAGACAAAGATGACTTCATGACTTGAGCTGCTACAGCTTTTCCTGCCCTAGAAGAAAGGAAATATTGTATGCTTCTCCCTTACCTCCTACACACCTGAGCTTACCACCTTACCTTGAAGGTTTTTTTCTCTTTCCCTTTTCTTGTTCACTCAATCTCCAGTTACATCTCTCTTCCCCTATCTCCATTTTCTCTCCTTGTCATTATATTTGAGGGTCCAAACCTGCCTCTAGTTGTGAAGAGATGCACATGGGTAGCACTGCTGATGCATAATAAAGAAAACCTCAAGTCGGAAGTAGAAACAGAGGAACCTAAACCAGTTGACCTCCTCACCCTTAAAAGTTTCAAAAAGACCCGCATAAAGCATTCCCTTAAGTGTTTTTAATTCAACCTGCCTCTCCTCAAGTACTAACAGTCAAGATTGAAAAGTTCCCTTCTTCCTCAGTTTTCTCTTTTAATTCTTGGAATTATAAAATTATTGCTTTTTACTATTTTCACATAAACTCTATGAAATAAATAAGTAAGCTTCTGTGACTTATCTTGAAATTTATTACTTCCAGGATTATTTTTATGTGAAACACATTCTGAATTCCAAACAAATGGATTACCAATGAACTTTTGGAATGTAACATGTTTCTAAGTTAAACTCTGCCCTTCTTTTTTTTTTTTTTAAGACAGGGTCTCACACTGTCACCCAGGCTGGAATGCAATGGTGCAATCATAGCTCACTGCAGCCTCGAACTCCTGGGCTCAGGCAATCCTCCCACCTCAGCCTTCCAAGTAGCTAGGACCATAGGCATGCTCCACCATAACTAGCTAATTTTTAAATTTTTTGTGACAAATGAAAGGTTGCCCAGGCTGGTCTTGAACTACTCGCTTCAAGTGACCCTCCAGCCTTGGTCTCCCAAAATGCTGGGATTATAGGCGTGAGCCACCATGCCCAGCCAAATTCTGCCTTTATACTGTTTGAGTTAATGAGCAGTTAATGAGAAACAAACAGCAAAATATTAAAAATAATAATGTAATAATATCCTTTAAAATGTTTAACACTTTATACAATTTGCTACTAAAATTATTTACCTTATTGAGGATAAGTTATTCTTTTAGATTATTTAATAATTCAGAAAAAAAGTTATACTTGGAAAAAGCATCATATAGTAATGACCTTACAACATCAATTAATAGAAAAAGCTATTTGAAATTTTACAAAGCCTTTTTGATTGCATGAATTGCTAATTCCATGATTATCTGAATTGCCAATATATGATTAATTTCACATTCATTAAGTTAATGGTACATTTGTCTTACTTGATATCCAGTTAAATAACAAGGTTATGATGTTATTTGACTTCCAACAGCAAATTTCCAGAGTCAGTCTATGACATTCTTGGTCCCAAATCAGACTTTACTGTAGAAATGCTGATGACTGACCAACAAATTGAGATAATAGAAAGTCATGAACTAGTTCCTCTTGTTGACAATTATTTCCTAATTTTGTCCTATTATTTACCAAAAATATTGATTATTCTTGAATAGACCACTGCTGATTTGTAACTCCAATTTCTATGCCTTGCTTTCTGATACCATCCATTAGAACATTACTATTTCGATAATAATTTCTTCTATGATCTTGGTTATTTGCTTCTTGTTACCCAAACATTGCTGTATAAGTGATATTTTGTGAGGCATTTAATTTTCACTTGGCAAGTTTAACAAACCATCCAGTGGTGTTACATTATTTAGTTCATGCATATTTTCAAAAGGCTTTGGGTAATATTTGACAGGTGAGGCACGGAATTTGTGTGTGTTCATTGGTTTTACTGCAGAAAACGTTCTTTCAAATTTTCCAGTTTTAGTGCTCATTTCTTGAATAGCAGTTTTATCAAGGTAATCCACAAATTTTTTTGTTAGGCTGGAAACATTCTGTGAGAAATTATAGAATGTATTCCAAGATTTGTTTCCTAATGATTGCTTACAGGTTTTCTTCCTTAGTGTATCATGTACAATCCTTCGGCCCACTTCAAAAGATATGGTTTGTACACCCTTTCTCCTTGTTGTAGGCATAGTTTTTCTGGGTTTGGAAGGAGTAACAGATTGATCACCAATTAAAGATTTGAGGATTTCACAATTTCTTTCAAGAACAAAATTTGTTTTTTCACATGGGTAAATGTTTTCATTTTCCAAAGAGTGGGTAGAAAATCTATTTCTTGTCAAAAGTAACATTTGTACATACTTTGTGTCATGAAAAATTATGGGATTTGTGTCACTTTGTTCCTGTGGATTAAAGAAAAAAGGACTTAGTCATAAGAATATTGAGGCAAGAAAGCTACTTATATTTTTAAACATGAAAATAAAATTGTAAATATTTAAAAAATGACTACATAGAAGTATTTAATATGAACAATAGTGGTATTGAAATACACAAGAATGATGGACTTGTATGTGACATACTGCCTTCTCTTCTTAATATTCTATAGAGGTGTTAGGGATAAATCGGAACTTTTGGCCTTCTTAAATCCTTTTTTTAAACAAAGTAGAATATGAAAGCATGAATACATTTCTTAAATGTTTGAGGTATTGTCATTGGGAAATAAGGTGGTTGGTAGGATGGAACATTGTTCTGGCATATCTTATGTTTCTATGTTCTAAAAATTAAAAAGCATACCAAAAAATAGATTGAGTCAAAGATGATAAGCGACTGATTACAAGTCAAAATTACAAAGTCTGGATATTCTAGTAAATGATTTGAAAAATTTAAAATTATCTCCACAGATGCTATACTTATTATTTTACCACAACCCTTAGCGCAACACCTGGCACACAAAAGTGCTCAATATATATTTGGAATAAAATAGCCAAAGTAATAGATTGACTTAAAAATAGACCATTTTTTAAATCACAGTAATTGCAAAATCTGTCTGTATGAGCTACTCTTTAAACTTTTTTCCGCATTTCCATTATTAGGGCAAAAAGATTAACTCCAAACAAACTAGTCAAATATGCATATGATTAGTATTTAGTTTGCAAATATTAAATCAATAATTATTACTTTTCATTAAAAATATAATTAGTGAAATAAGACATTGGGTCATTGTACATTAGTGTACTTAGTGTGACATGTATATTGATACCCATGATTACTGAAAAGATGACAACTGATCTATTTTGTAATCCACTAGTAATGCCAATATTACCTATTTAGCCATAGTAATGGAAGTTTGTCATATTTTTGGTCTGTCCTACATCTTAAGGAATTTTCCACCTTGTAAGTCTATATACTCTTACGCAGAGGCAGAAACTATCTTCATTGGCCTCTCTAATTAAGGTATAAGTGTCTGACCTAGGTTCTGCGAATCAGCTACACCTATGAAACTCTTCAGTTCAGAAAAAGCAAGCACTGTGAGAAATCACTGTGAAAACTATTCTAGCGGGAGTGGTGGGAGCTATGTCTGGCTTTGAAGGGCAGCAGTGGCAAAGGTCTTACAAAGAGTATTCCCTGCCCAGCATCAGAGTTGTAAACCGTTATATATGACAATAGCATGGGCCCCAGTGGAGCAGTCTGGGGCTGGTACTGGGTGATAACTAACTAGATAGCTTTCAAGCCAGATTGTCTCTCTAGCTTTCCTAGAAACTCTCTGAGCTGCTAAATAGCCTTTAATAAATGTGCTTTCTGGGTGAAATAGCTAAAATAGATTATTAGAAAAATGAACACATGGTCCAGTCATTTTAAAAAATACCCGTTTTATTTTATATCCCTTTTATAATCAAGCAAATTTGATAAACCCTTCTTCATAAAGAAAAACACAGTTTTCATCTGGTGCAAAGGAATCACTAGTTTTGGGGAGTGGATCTAAAAAAGAGCATTAAGAACTTAAGGGTTATTATCATGTTGGAATGTGAAGCCAAGAGGTAAGAAGGATTTATTGAAGATTCTGGTCACTAGAATATATGGGCGATTCCCATAAGTAGTATTACTATGCATAGTTACTGAACAACAGTAGATATTCTTATTACCGTCTGAGAAGTTACTGTCTTTGCTGGACTAATGTTGATTATCTTGGCATTTGGATTTTTCAACTCATCCTCAAAGCACAAAGGGAGCAAGCTTTTCTTTCTTATTGAACAATACTCACTTAATTGATAATTTCTGATAGATTTATTTTCTTTTGTATTAAAATCATTCATCTGTGGAGATTTTCCTCTGAAAATAAACACAAGTTCAGGGGGATGTTTATAGGGCTGATTTCAGCTTGTTAGTTCTCATCTGCCTCCCCTTTTCCCTGGAAGTCACTGCCAACATCTGCATCAACCTCTCTCCCATAGACTTGCAGACTGACAAGAGCATCCCTTCCTGCCTTTCCTGGAGAAAACAGCAAAAGCACAGATGCAAGCAAAATAGTCATATGTGTGCGTCTTTGGATTGAGGAGAAAACCAAAGATAGAGAGGCATTTCCTGCATCCATTGTTGAAATTCTGGAAGAAGCTTCGCAGGGCAACTTCATGCCAACATAGGGTGGCCCCAGCTTTGTGAAGAGGATAGAATAGTGTGGTCAGGCAGAGAGAGGATATAGTTTTTATTCCGGGTCTCCCTTGGCTCACATGGGACAAAGACACTGAGTTTAGGCTTGCCAAAGAGCTTGCTATTGTGAGGCTGTGATAACCTGTAGCAAAAGTTTAGCAAGGGTGAGGTCTGGACAGCTTCATCTAAGGACAGATGAAAGACATGACAGAGACTCAGAGGATTCTACCACACCAATGACAACTGAGAGTAGACCCTATCCAAGTTCAGGGAGAATAGACCATGGGTTCATGTACCACAGATGTAAATAGCCACAGAACATCTAAAAATAGGACCTGCGATCACCAATCCTGGCAGCAGTATAGGTACTGACTTGGAAAGAAACAGAAGAACCTATTTACACCTAAAGAGGCTGTTCATGATTGCTCTAAACAAAGTTTAAAACACGTTGGACTAATAATTTTTTTTCATTACACAGAGGATGAGGGGTCCATGAGAAAAATTAGAACTTTATCCAAAAAAAAGAAGCTACTTTTTCCACATTCATGTAGTAGTGTAATTAAATTTGTGTGTCTACTACAAAACATAATTGTATTCTCTCCATTTTTCATGTCTTTCTCTCTGTTTGACTCAGCTCAAGGTCTGGATGTGATGTCTAGTAGCTGAGCAGTCTTGGACTATTCATTGGATTGTACTATGGACTAAATGTTAATAATAAGGCAGAATCCCAGGGCCAGCGCAAGCGCCTCATGGTGCCTGGAGGAGCAGCTCAAGCTAGAGGCCCCCATGGAGCAGATCAGGGACTCCTTTTTTGGAGTAGCCTCTCAGACGTTGCTGGGTGAACATGAGCTCAAACCAAGGAAAGTCAGGTCTCTGGGGCAGCTGCAGAGCTTCAGTAGTGCTGCATGCAGGACGCCTGCAAGGATGCCCTGCTGGTTTGCAGGTCAGCTGGAAGCAACTCCTTCTGTCCAGCTGAAAGCAACCCCTTCTGTCCAGCTGAAAGCAACCCCTTCTGTCCAGCTGAAAGCAACCCATTCGGTCCAGCTGAAAGCAACCCCCTTTGGCTTTACTCCGAAGAATTTAGGGAAGACGTTTTCTGAGGAATGCCTTCAAGTACAAAGTGGTGAATGATTGCCTCCAAGTCTCAAGAAAACACTTTTCTCTACCCAAATAGATATTTCAGTCCTTTCCTGTGGCCTGGGCCTACAGCCAATATTCTACAGGAATTGATGAGTTTCTACTAAAATACAGAAACTGAGTGAAGGAGTACACTTCTAAATAATAATGGCCTGGTTTTTTTGGTAAAGTGCTTCATACTTAAGACAGAAAAAAAAAAAACCCTTACCACCAAATATACCAAAATGCATATCTTTCATAAGTGAATTACTGGTGTTTCTATGCCTGGAATAACATGTATGTTTTATTTATTGAATGTTTACATTTTATTTAGGAAGGAAACATTTTTGTCTGTTAAAATATTAAATATTTATAATTGTTTTTCCTGACGAAGATTTTTATACCATAACTAAATTTGTTCTTTTCTCACAAATTTATAATTTCTGAATGAAGACAAGAAAGTAAAAACTAGGGGAGAAGAATAGGCTCTATTAATCAAATGATGTCTTGATTTTTCCAAATGAGAAGATTGTTTTATTTTTAACACTACACATGGGAGCTGTTTCTTAGCAAACTTGTTTGGAAAGGTTAATGTTATGTTGTGTACATGAAGCAGAATCAGTCTTTGTATTCTTATTATGTTCCTCTACTTTGTAGTTGTACTTTAAAAAAATACCATATTATTTCATGTGTTTAAAAACATTTAAAATGTCACCTACGGGACCTTGTAAATGGTTAAAAACAACATAATGTGAAAATGTTACAAACTCAAAGAATTCATAATGTCACCAGTGTTTTACTTTGATAATGTATTTTTGATTTAATTGGAACACTTTTGGAAGGATATATTATTTGTGTTTGTAATAATCTTTGAAGAACTTGGAAATAAAATTTCTACTTCATCAAAAAAATATAAGGCAGAATAAATTCATTCTGATCTATTATAAAACAAAAGGCAGAAAGCATGCCACTAGAAATATTGAACTGAATAAAATATTAAAAATTTAAAAATAAATTACCTTTTATTTATATAATCTTCTAAATGGCCAACAGAATCCAACGATTTCCTAGTCTTCTTTTCAATTTGAGCTGAAATTACAAAAGATTTTAATAAAAGACATATATTATAGCACTTAGAAAATATCTTTTATAAAATATTTTACAATTTAAAATAACATATGGAAAGTACCTAGTACAGTGTCTCAGTAGACAATTCTTGAGTGAACAAGATAGAATTAGAAAAGAATGAGATAAAGCTTCTTCTGTCTGGCTAAGACAGATCAAACATAAAAGTGGTCTTGGAGATTTTTTTGTGGAAGAAAAGCATTCCTAAATTTCCAAATCCCTGTAACAGATGAAGTCATTATTAACCAGTAGGAAGCTTCAAATAGTTAAACACTGTTGGTATGAAGGGAAGTCAGTTAGCGGATATGAAGCAAATCTTGCCACGTGGCATGAAGGAAGTGTCCAAAGTTGAACTCTTCCAAATATGCCTGGTGGCCACTCCAGAATTTTTCCACTTTCCTAAGTGTTCTCATACACACATGCTATTAGCAACAATTTCAGCTTTTTCCTGTCTTCAAGTAATTTATATTCTAGTGCCATGCTTCCTAACCTTTTTCACATCATGGCAAACATTCCACTTAATATTATTTGTACAGTACACTGGCATAAATTCTTAAGTCTATTAATACTTGTGGTAGGCCACCATAAGGCCAAAGGAGCAGTTTTGAAGGCCAACGAATTAATATTTCAACACACCCATAACCCCCTCCAAGCACAATAGGCTACCCAGTATACTGATGGGGAAGCTCTGTTCTAGAGGGAGGAAACAGTCAATAAACAAGCAAACCAATCAACAAATACATATATAAAATAACTTCAAATACTTATAAGTATTATGGAAGAATAAAAACTTGGTACTTCACCTATGGTGGCAATAGGTCTCTCCCAGGAGGGGATATTTGAGCTGAAATCTGAGTAAAGAGAAGGAGGCAGCCATGTAAAGAGCTGGGGGAACAGCCCACCAGGTGGAGGAAACAGCAAGTGCAGAAGTCATGCTGTGAAACCAGGTTGGCATGCTGAGAGGCCAGTGATGCTGGGGTGTAGGGAATGGGGGGCAGGGTGGAATAAGATGAGATGAGACAGGTAGCAGGGACAAGTCATAAGCCATGGTGAAGAGTTAAGATAGTATTCTGGTTACAATAGTGATCTTTTGGAGAGTTTTCAACAGAACAATAAAGTAGGTTGATTTATGCTTTAGAAAGATCACTCTGTCTGCTCAGAGATGGATAATTTGTGGGGGCAAGGGCTAATGTGAGTGGCAAGAGTAGCAATGGAGTAATTAGAAGCCTGTTGCTATGGTCTAGATAAGACATGCTAGTGGATTAGATAAGGATTGTAGCAGTGTAAGTGGTGGGAAATAGTTGCCTTCAGTTTATATCTTGGAGGTAGATCCAACTGTACTGACTGGTGGATTAGATATGGGGTATAGAGAAAAAAGAGAAATTAAGAATGATTTCTAGGGTATTGACCTCAGCAACTGGGTAGATGCCATTTCCAGAAATGGGAAAGGCAAGTGAGAGAAAAACAGGCCCACCAATTGAAACAAGAGGCTAGGTTGAGAATGCCCGGCTTGTGAATGGAGATTAAAAATCACCACTTTCCACTGCCAATTGGGTAACCTGGAATTAAGTCAAATCACACCAGGGCTGGGTGACTGAATCTACAATATTCCCAATATGTCCCTGGCAGAGGAGCCCATTCACAATTCTAAAATATGGTCTGGGCTGAGCGTCATGAGACCTGAGTAGTGGCAACTGAAAAAGGAAAGGAAAGGAAAAAGTAAGGAAATAGTGATTGAGTGATGAGTGAGAGAGAAAGAGAGAGACCCTTCTAAAATTCTAGAACACATGAAAAATATAAAGCTAAGAAAGACAGCCTGAGGCCAGGCATGGTGGCTCACACCTATAATCCCAGCACTTTGGGAGGCCAATATGAGAGGATGGCTTGAGGCCAGGAGTTTGAGGCTGCAGTGAGCTATGATCACACCACTGCACTCCAGCCTGGGTGACAGAGAAAGACCCTGTCTCTTAAAAAAAAAAAAGGAAAAAAGCTGACAAAATCACCAAGAAGAAGGTAAGTTCAGCAATAGAATTGAATAGAAGAATCTAAAAGTAACTATAAAAATTCTTACCATATCTCAACTCTAAGATGTATATTATTAGTATGTGTCAGAGTTTAATTGACAATGTCAGTTAATGACATCTTAGATTTGATAAAATATGGTATGTTTAAGAATTTCAAAGACAAATGAAAAATATTCACATTAGAGAACAAGATATTATGAGATAAAAACAGGCTGATGTAAACAAAAACAAATCAATATTTTAAAAAACAACTGGAAATCTTGGAAATAAGAAATATAACTTAGATTACATAGCCAAAGGTCGAATCAATGAATTGAAAGAAAACGTCGAGGAATTCACTAAGAACGTACAGAGAGAGAAATAAAAAATATGAAGTAACAATTAAAAATCATGAAAGATAGACTGAAAAAGGCTTCAACATTTATCTAATAGTTCTGGAAGAAGAAAATAGAGGAAATGGTGAAGAATCTACATTTGAAGACAAAATAGCCAAAAATTCTGACAGAAGTGTTTTTCAAGATTCAGGATGACAGACAGAATACACCTATACCCAGACACTTTGTAGTAAAAATACAGATGGCCCAGGAGCAGTGGCTCACGCCTGTAATCCTAGCACTCTGGGAGGCTGAGGCAGGAGAATTGCATGAGCCCTGGTGTCTGAGGTTGCGGTGAGCTATGATGACGCCACTGCACTCTAGCCAGGGCGACAGAGTAAGACTCTGTCTCAAAAAAAAAAAAAAAAACCAGATCATGAAACATAAGGAGAAAAATCCTAAAACTACCAGAAAGTAAAACCAGTTTTTCTACAAAGGATCGGCAATTAAACCAAGAACAAAATTCTAATCTAGAATTGATTTCAGAAGATAACAAAGTTATACCTTTAAAGTGCTGAAAGAAAATAATTTATAACCTAAAAATTTACATCAACTGAACTATCATGCAAGAGTAATAGCAAAATAAAGGCAATTCAGAAGGGTTAACAACTAACAAATCACCCCTGTAAGAGTTACCGAAGGATAGCCTTCAGGAAAAATGTAAGTGAACACTGATGAGTGCACTTTGATAAATTATGGTATATATTTAATTAGCATTGACTTTAGAAACTAATCTTATTTTGTATTTTAAATGAAATATTATTAATATTTGCTGCACTTGTACAGCTCTTTCTTAGTTATTTTAATCTATTACATTTTTGGTGTTTTATACTTCTATAGTATTAGTCTTTATTTTTCTTTTAAACTTTGCTTTATTGAAGTATAAATTACATATAATAAAATACACATATTTTAAATGTACAGTTGGATAAATTTTGACAAATACATACACTAGGGTAAGTAAAATCAAGATATAGAGTATTTTCATTATTCTAACATAGTTTTTGAATACACCTTTTCAGCCAGTTCATTCCATTTGTTCTGTTATCTCCTTCAAACACACTGGTTATCTCAGTTGGATAACTGTTTTCTTCTCTCAATATACTATCTTGAATAATCTGGTCCCGTTTTTGTCCTCTTACACTGCATTGTGTGTGATTTTCCTAAACCTGTGCTTCAGATCTTTAATTTGGTTTACTCAAATGTTTTTTCTACTCTTTGCTGCTTTTAATATCATTTTAAGTTCTGTGTTAGCATTACCTGTTTCTTTAAAAATATTTTTTAGCTCCGGCAGCATCATTTTATCCTCGAAGACTATCTTTTATATTTTCAGATCTTATTTCATAGAATTCTTATTTTTAAAAATTTCTTCACCACATAGAACAATTATTGTCTAAATTTTCTCCTGTTTCCTGGGGTACAAATCCTGCCAAAATGGGACCATTAGCTAACTTTTAAATTATTTCCTTTCTTTGCTACAGAATTTTTGCATAGGTCCCATGTTTTGTTCTTGATTTTCTTTCTGCTCAACTTTGAATCAGGTCCCTTAAATCCGGGCTTATATTTGTCCAAAAATAACAGGAGTAAATTTTCTTTGGATACTTTCCCTGTTTACCTGGGCACTATTAAATTCTCCTGTTAGAAATTAATAGGTAAATCCTGATGTCGTTCCCTTATGTTACAAGGTAGGCATTCAGCTGCCTAAGTAGGCTGTAAGGCAGCTGGAGCCCTGAGAGATCATGGAAAAATTTGTTTCTGTGCACTGTGTGTTCTGTGAAACCTTTTCATGACTCTAAGGTGATGGCGGTGGTCGGTGGGGGTACTCTGTCTATTTACGTGTGAGGTGTCATTTGGGTTTCATTTTTTTCCTACCTCTTTCTTGAGGTAAGCAAGTCAGTTTGGGGAGGAATTTAGTCAAAGAAAGGCCTCATGGCTCACATGTTGTTTGATGAGGTCATGTTTTTTCTTTCCACCGTTATCCTCATAGCTATTATTCCCGCTTCCAAACATGGTTCCTAGGAAACTGTATTTTGTCTCTTCTGTTGCCAACCCTCCCTTCAAGACCTTTTTCCTCCAAGCTAGGAGGTTTTTACCCTAACTCTGAGTACATCTGAAGCAATATGAGAAAACCAGAAAAAGAAATGACTAGTTATAGCCATTACATTTTTCTCAAAATACTGCTAACCCAGACGTGGAAAGCTGTTGACTCGCAATGAGGAAAGGCATCCCAAGGAGAGGATTTCCCATCTTGCTGTGATCCATCACTGATAACAAACTCCTTTTCTTTAAGTTGATTGTGTGTGTGCATGTGTGCAGTGGGGTGGGTGGTTCATAGGGGGTTTTCAGAATATATTATAATTCTGTTGGCTCTTTCGATGTTGTTCCTTTCTCCCAGGAAATGAAACTGTGCATTGATTTCTGCAATATTCTTTCAAAGTGCTTCATATTATAATACATGGCAGATTTTCTTGGAGTCTGGGATAAAATGTCCTACTTTCAATTTAATAATTTCTTCTTCTCCACTTCTCTTCTTTTGTTATTCATTTTGACCAGGATAAACTTGCAT